AAACAGCAGGGAATGTGGCTGGTTTATTGTTTATCTTTTGTTTATGAGGCAGTATTCAAGTTTAATTACTACTCTAAATTAAACTCTAACTGGCACCAGGAGACATCCCTTTACATGACTAAGTTAAAAAAAAATATATAGAAATCCCAACTCTGGGTTTTTCAAGTAAGTGGATACATATAGGAAGAAATTACTCAAAATTAACAGCAATTACAGAAAGCTTTTAAGCATTTATGGGCACCATTACATGTTCCTAGAGCATTTATTTATTAGAAGAGTTTTATTTTATTTCTAATGGTTACTATTTTTTAAAGTCCTAAGAAAATCAACAGGAATTATTTGAATGTTTGCTGGTGTTTAAAGGATGCTATATTTTTGACATTATTTTTTTGGGGGGGGAGGGGAGAGAATGAAAATGAAACATACATATTCTATATACAACAGTTACTTCTATGGCAATGATCAACTTTCAATTACATTCTCAGAGAATTTTCTATACAATTAAAAGAACAGGAAGGAAAAGAAATGTCATTGCATTTATTGTAACAGTAAGTGACCAGTTTCGGATGAACTTAGCTCCAGGAAAAATAAAAGTTAAAAGCAACTAGCAAAAGATTATGCCAGATGGCATCTGTCATATTGTATTTAGGGTTATTTTAAAGAGATTGCCGCCACTATGAAAACATTCCGTTGACAGAGTTTTCCTAGACTGAATAAGAAATTCCAGTAGAATATATTCAGGACCACCGTAAGTAGGTTTGAAATACTCCCCCGCCCCCCACCTTGTGTAAATAAAACTGGAATATGTTGGTGGGGGAGAATACTATTTCATAACTATCGCATATATTATAAACTCAGAAATGTAAGACTATTTTAGATGTTTGCTTATCTATAAATACTTACATCCAATATACAGGGGGTATTTTTAGGTTTCGACACCATGATGGCTAAAGAACTGGATAATAAATAAATAAGTATCTAGCAATGGAATTCTAGTCTCACTGCCAGGGTGAGAGATAGGGACATCAAGAGAGGGGGTTGGCAGGTGGCAGCACTGGGAGGAACTGTGCTGGCTTGTGCAGCCCCATGTCCTGAAAGATTAGAGGAGACGAATGCATTTAGGTTAAACTGGGTCTGGCAACAGTATGGTTAACGTGCGTGTGGTGTGCAGTGTGAGCTCAGCAGTTACTGGGCCAACTGTCTCGGTATTTCTGGGAATCCTGCCTATTCACAGTGCAGGGATTGTTCAATTGCTGCAAAATGTACAAAATGAATTTTACAAAAATGAATTGTAAGGAAGGCCCCATTACAACGATTTTACAGCAAAGATGTCAACATCAATTTTTCTTTCATGCATAGCTAATGATTAAAACAGCATATTCCATTTGCCTAAGACAATTCATTTCATATTGGCACATCAAAATATTGAAACACCAAGTTATCTTTACTCTACCCTTTTTATTCATTGCTGCTGAACCCATACCATTGTTCAAACCAGGAAAAATAAAACAAACTTGGCACGGAATACTTAAAACAAAGGCTCATCAATATTCTCCAATTTGTCAACATCTCAATTACAGCACTGGAAAAAATGTAAATTTCATGTGCTCTAAACACTGAGGGGTCTATTCTCTTGCCAATTCACATGCGTAACTCCCATCAGCGTTAATGGGAGTTACACAAACCCATCAATAATAATAATACTTGTACATATATTGTGCCTTTCATCTGAGGCTCTCAAAGTGCTCTGTGAACAAGGGGGCTGCTTCCTAGTCTTTACTCTGGCAAAACACACAATGAAATACAAAGCAGCTTTTGACTCAGCAGGTACAGAATGAGGGACCCCAAGCCTGATGATCAAGCCCCATTTTACTGAGGGGAAGCCAGATACAAAGAGGGCCAGTGACTTCCACAGAGCCACTAGTCTGCACCCTAAATCTGCCCCTGAAAAAACAGATTTCTTTCTTCCTTCTAAAATGACTATCAAGCAGACTCCCTCCCTTTGGCTGCTCTAAGCAAAAGAAACCAGAGTGAATAAAAGTCTGGTTCATATTTATATAGTTTACTGCTAGTCTTGTGCTGTTTGAAAGACACAGTAGAGTTAGTTTTTACATTTTAGCAAGTTTGTTTCTTAGAAGTTTTAAAAAATCTGATTTTTTTTTCCTCCTTTCGGTTTGTTGCACAAACACGAGGGAGGAAAAGATGACCTTTCACCTGTGTAACTGTAGCTCTTTCACTATCAAGTCATAAAATGAGGTATTTTTACATTCCAAAGTAAAAAATTTGTATGAATCATTTTAGTAAAAATATTCGCAAAAATTATAAAGCAACATACATGCATGTATTGTTTTATAGCATATGGCTATTAAAGTTTAATTAAAAATGTGTAGGAAAACACTGTATTTACTACAATTCATCCCTATTTTTTCTGTTTATCATAATTTGTTTTGAAACTGAATCATTTTACAGTTTTCCATATGCCTGTTGTGCTAATAAATTCTGAATACGTAAGAAAAACTCTTTTCTAAACTACAAACTTGGTTTCTAATGTAATATTATAATATCTTTAACACTAAGAACATAAATTTCCCTCTTAGGTTTTCCATTATACATCAACCCTAAGATTTAACCTGGGATAAGCATATGCGATTTAGTCAATATCTCTGTTGACTTTGCCCTGAAGCAGATAATTAATCTTTCCCACAGAAAGCTACTCTGGACAATTCAGTGGGACAAAATATAAAAATGTCTTGAAAACATGTTTAAAAGACTAATAAGGGCATGGGCATGACAAAATACGCTGGAGTCTGGCCTTCAAAATTTAGGGTCGACTGTAAAAATCAGAATACCCTTAAACATGTGTTTTGGAACCACTGATGTGGGAAGCCAGGTAAGAAAGTCTCCATGTCAAAACATCCTCCATTTTATAGGAATCATAAGTTCTTTTGTCCCTTACATTTTAATATGTAAAATGACTGACTTCTTAGTACTCATTCACATAAGTTACCATGTCCACTCTTTAATCTCATAGAGATATGCAGGGATCAAATCCTTCAACATTGCATAAGTGGGTACAGCTCCCCACAACATAGAGGTGTGTGTATATTGTTTTTAGCCAGTGTGTTGGTCTCAGAGGTTTTCTCTTTCTTCACCAAAACAACAACAAAACTAACCCAAATGACAAAACTCCATGCCGTGCCCGTTACTGCAACTGTTCCCTGCTCCAAACCCCAGGTCTTCTCTCTCCCCCTCCCCTTGTCTCTGGCCCCTTCCTGCTATCTCCCTTGGCCATAACTCAACCAACCCAACAGAACCAGTCAGTTTTAGATTTCAGTTGGGACCTCAGTGACCTGTTAATGAATCTACAGAGAGGAGAAAAACTCACAGTGTTGAGTTATGCCTGGTGTTGCTAGCTGACTTGGAGTCAGAAATGCTTGAAGCGTTAACGTAATTGCAAGAATGTGAAAAATGAAGCGCTGAGCTCCTGCGCGAAGTGAAAGGTCAAAGCGAGCCTCACACACAACAAGTCTTTGGAAGATAGCCTCATTAGACCATTAAGTCTGCTTCTCCTTTCCCCCTCTTTTGCACAGTGTTGAGCGTGTTTTGTTTTTATTAATAGATACATTTCCCCCTTTATGTGGCAGCAATTTGGGGTGGTAGGGAGGGTGGAGTCATAGAAAGCTTTCCAGATTTAACCACATTGAGAAGTCAGTCCATCACCATGACACAGAACTACAATTAAGCCACTGCATTGCAGTCATTGAGTTTACACATATGTCACCTTCAAAATGCCATATAGTTTAGTTGTCTTACATACAATCTACCTGGTCCAATAAAAACAGTACATACAGCCTCCATACATATGACTCACACGTTCTTCCACAATTTATCACTTGACAGTATTCATTTCTGTGTCAGTTGCAACTTGCATAAACCTAGATTCTAATTTGGACCCATTCTCAAGTTAACGACATCCTAGAAGGGACATTTCCTAGACTCTTCCGGAATACCAGGAATCCAAAATCCATGGCCGGAAGTTTGGAAGAGTGAAGGCACTCACCCTACATCACCAACCTTCTTGTAAAGGGCATATATGACTATAGCTCAAGCTGTGAAACTGTCCTCTACTTTGAAGACTGTCTAATACTTAAATATTGTGGCTATAAACACAGTCATAATAGAGATGAAATAGAGCTAGGAGATCAGATACCAGATAATGTAAAATATTAAAAAGTAAAATCTATACACTTTTCTGGACCACATTCAGTAATGCATCTTCCTTTAAATTATCATTTTAGCCATAGAAGAGTCAGCCCTATTAACATATAATTGCTCTTTGTGCAATAGGTGGGTCTTAAATGGTAAAAATTTATTCCAAATTACACCAGGCTTCCTTGTCACCTGCACTTCATGTCCCCTTTGCCCTCTGATTATTGTAATGTTTAGGACTTGTGACAAAAGTCGCCACAACCACTGAATGGAAACAAATAAACGTCTAAGAATTTCAAAACCCATATTCCCAAGATAAGATTCCATATAAAATTCGTGCAGGACTTCTGGAGCTAAAAAGAACGGATTGTTGCATCTTCTGTGCTTTAGATGCATTAATGCTTGATTATAGAGAACTCTTACAGTGGGTATTACAAACAAAAGATAGTGTTTATAGCATAATTAAAACTACTGCACCTAGCTGCAAAGGAGCTCATCATTCTATTTCCGCACACACAGAAGGGTAGATAACCAAGTTTGTAAAAGAATTGGCAGAACTAATCAATTGTTAGTGCAATGCCTGCTTAAAGACCAGACACCTCATTTTGATTTTTCTTAAGTAATGTAAGTTAAAGAGAGGAAATACTAAGTAGTCTCCTAAATAGCAGCTGATTATGCTCCCTAACCTGCCATCCTCTTGTTTACAGGGAGACAGATGTACTGAAGTCATAAAATATTGAAGTTATTTTAGTCATGCCTACTTTGCACAAGGAAAATGCTTGACCTTTTACCTTGCTCACTGCTGTTGTCTCCACTCTGGGAAGCATGACCCCCGCTGGAGGGCCCTGGGGTGCCTGCTGAGTGGGTGGAGGTTGCATCATCGTGATCTCGCCAAGATGCAGGATTCTGATGTCAGGATTCCAAGAAATGTGTCCACAGTTACCATGTCAGCCATAAATGAGGAACCAAGAAGAGAGGTACAGAAAGAGACAAAATGTGTACATATTAGTATTTGTGGAATTAGGCATCTATAGATGCCATGCTACAGTATGTTGTCTTTTCAGCAATAGGTACCAAAAAGATGCTCTGGAACCTTGATGAGGTCATGATCACATCAATGTACACATTTGTTAAGACAAATTGACAGACACTTAAAATGGGTACATTTTTATCACACTCAAATTGTGCCTGAATAAAGTTAATTTTTAAAGTTAGGAGGAAAAAAGCTTACTTAAAAACCTAAAAGTCATTTCCTCTTGCCATCTTAATTAGGGCATACTCTTCCATGAAATAGGTCCCAACGCTCTTGTTTGCTAAATACTTCAGAACATTTACCATCTACAAAACTCAGTGAGTCCCTTAAAAAATAAAACAAAACAAAAAACTCAAGAGTATAGGAGACAGCTCTTCGCACCTTTCAAATGCATTGCCCTAAAACAGCCTGACCAAACCCTCACAATTGTCATCAACTGATTATACAACCAACAGACCCAGTGATATTAATCATGGCATCAGTACCTAATATATGATCAGTTCTGCTTTAATTTGCATAAACAGCAAGAAAAAAGTGAAACAACTATGAACCGTCAGCTATCTAATAAACCAGATAGGCCTTGCCCGTGAGCTCCAGGGGAGCTTCAATTCGCAGAGCGGGGCTCTTTGCTGGGAGAACACTACTTGTCTCCAAGGACAAGCGGGCAGACCCAGCTATAGCTCGTGCCACTTCGCTGAGTGTATTCTTCCCCTGGCCCTCCTCCCCTTTCCTGATCATTCCCAATACCCGGCTGCTGCTTAAAGGAAAACAGGAATTCTAATGTACAGGAAGGACTTTATCAGCACCACATGAAGGCAGGCAAGAGATGGAATTTCCTCTGGCAGAAATGTCCCCATAGGAACAGCACGTGAAACACACCACCCATAGGCCAGCGCTGTGCACTTGTCACCTGTATGCAGGGACTTCAGCTAAGCTCACAGACTTACTGGCAAGTAAATTTGGGGCAGGAGGATTCTTTGAGGGGAAAAATAAAAAACAACAACATCAATCTCTGAAAGTACACCATTTCTTCTTACAAGAATTGGTAAGGATTCAGACAGACCAACATGCTTATAGGCAACAGGCAAACATTTTGAGCATCTGAAAGCAATCTTGCAGTGTTGTCAGTATATATAGTTTATCCAGAAAAAGAATCAGTCTATCATTTTCCTCGACATCAACTCTATAATGTACATATAGAACTTAAAATCTTACCAAAATAAAATTTAAAGCCAAGCTGAGACCAAATAGAGGACTAGTCTTACTTGGAACAACAACCGAAAAAAAAAAAACTTATGTGCAGTTATGCTACAAACTGATTGCAAATTAATATTTAGCATTTTTGATAAATAAGCTATAGAGCTTTGAAATGACCCAAAGCTCTATAGATTAATAACATCTATCTCAAATAATGCTACTGGCATCGCCATCAGGCATGCAATTGATTCAAAGTGAAAACCCCAAGGAGAGATTTAGTGACTATAAATACGGCGCAGGTATAGGTCTTTAAAATAAAGATATGTTTTAGAAAATAGATTAGAAAATGAAATTGCGTAGAATAAAATGAAAACCAAGGATCTCTGCTTCCTATATTAAGACAAAATCATGCCTGTGATCTCTCTTTTATAAGTTAGAAACCACTCCAAGAGTTTCAACCTAAAGATAAATAGAATATAGTGTCTCTTGAAGGTTTGTAGCCTCTTTGTGTCAGCTGTTTGCTGGATGATAATCAGATAAAGAGCTAGAAGGAGAGAGCGAGAGAGAGAGAGAGAGAGAGAGAGAGAGAGAGAGAAACAATAGCATGGTGTGAGTTTAGTCTTGCAACAGCACTGGCTAGAGGCTTCTTTTAGAAAACACAATAGCTGCAACACCTTCACCTAAGCTTAACTTTACAGTGTACACAGCAAGTGATGTTAATTTTATGCACTGCAGGCTTTTTATTAAGCCGGCTGCTATAAAAGCTCCTTACCCCTCATGAAAATTACAATAATTAACCACTAACACCTCGACTATGTTTTAAGGCAAATGTCATCCAATAGCTATTAGATAATCGTTGAAATGAAGCTCGAGGAGGCTTTCTGTTTGGGCACTCGAGTGATTTGAAGGGATCACCCAGAAGGACATCCTGCACCTGAAAGCAGTGGTTTGTCCCTATCAGTCAAACCTGGACGGAGTTTAAAGTCAGCCCTCATTCATTTATAGTTCAGTTTATTTCTTTCGGTGGTTTTTCTGGAGGAGGTGTTTTCTAAGGTAAAGGAGTAAAAAGTAAGTGACATAAGCAAATATTACTTTAAGAGCAGCTGGTTCCTCCAAGCGAGTTGGGTCTTTGGTTTTCAGCCCAGACCTGAGATCGGCTCAAGTTCACTATCTAACCCACATGCCCCCGTCTCTTCCCTCTTTGCTCTCTCAGGTGTTTATTTCCATGAGGATCTCAAGTATTAGCATCTAGTTTCAGAGACGGACACAACCGAAGGTGCACCATGATATTCATCCAACTTGACAGCAGGAAAGACAGATTAAATCCCTCTGGGGTTTCAATGCTGAGGAGTTGCCCTAAACTTGGATGTACTGGGCTACACCATGGTGACCTGACCGTATACCCAGACAAACATTGATAATCTGGTCAATGAGAAATCGCTAGCTCCTTGGTCATAAAAAATTATAACCTACATGATCAGATAAAATGTAATCCATTGCCCATAACACTGTTTTTTGTGTTTTTTTCTTAAATGGAAATATTTGTTTATATCACAACTCCTTTCTTCTTTTCCCTCCCTAGATAGTTTCCAAGTTTACATCCTTCAAGAATAACGGCCTGGCTTTCTGCCAAATTATATGCAGGAGTTTCATGAATCTTGAAACCAAAGTGGCATACGAGAGCATGTAAAACGCATGACGTATGTAGAAAAATAAAGAGACATGCTTTCCGTGTGCATGTGTGTGGGTGAGTATTCAGGTGTGTGCATTCCACAATACACGTCCTGTTCTTCAGCCAAAAGTATCGGGAAGACACCGGGGGCAAGGAATGAACATGTTTCTATTCCCAGTGGCTCTAATAATGGGGAGTCAAATATGGTACTCTTCTTGCTCTTATGTAATTGCGTTAAAGAGCAGTGTTAGCAGGAGAAAGGCAGTGAATACCGAGTGGAGCACAATAGAAGGAGATAGAAAATAGATACAAGGAGCTGGGTCTCCAGAGGCAGTATTTCCTATTTGCTGGGCTACAGACTCACAGCTGATAATGCAAGTTGTAATTAATATAAAAGCAGGAGACAAGATGGGGAGAGCTTGTAGGAGCGGGGCCACAGGAGATCACTGCCGCTCTCCTGTTTCTCATTTACACACAGCTTTCCCTGGAAAACACAATTCTGCCAGTGTTTTCTCCCTTGAAAGTTAAAAAAAAATTGACTTAGCACCATCATTGAATTTTGCTAAATCTAGAAAAGAGCGGAGCGAGGACAGGAGTCTCCAGGCATAGGAAGCAAATTGTATGTGCACCTCTTTTGTTGAGGTTGCAGATATGGTGGAAACTGTAACATTTCACACCATTATGGCATTTCTGTGGGGGATCTGCCTAGGGTTCTCTTTAGTAAGTCCTGGTACATTGGTGCTATTTTCCTGTTTAAATAACTGCACACAGCTCATGGTTCTTCCACTCAAAGGGATGATGGAGTCAATGTATGAGGGTTTCTAAATAAATTCAAAAACTGAGTGGGTCAGTAAAATGTTATGAGGCTTCAAGAAAGAAAAAAGAAGGCATACTACACACAGGTTTTATCTAAAATAATCTGAAGCATCTCAGACCCCAAGTGAAAAGGTGACTCAATGGCTATGGTTAGGAGAGAGCCTTAGCTCGGAAGGAAGACTCTGGTGCCACCTCTAACTTATCATGTGAACTTGAGCAAGTGTCGTTCTTTACGTTCCTGGGACTTGTTTCCTTTCTCTCTCTAAAATGAAGAAGTCGGGTGGGATCACGGAGATCACTTTCACTTCTTATTTCTGTTATTAAAAATAATTTAAAATAACATTTGATTTTCTAGAACCTACACAATGAAAACATATAATACAGAGTCAAAAGTTATATATGAACTTAGAAAACACAGTAAAGCAATTCAGAATGTGTTCATAGGTGGAAAGTAATGTATATATATATACATATATATATGCAAATGGAGAGCACAAACTAATTTGACTACATATGTTTAAACAACAAAGGCAAGATATGCTTGTATCAGTACACATCATTGAAACCATTAACATATTCCCTATGACTTTATGATGTTCTCACTCTTAATTGACATTATGCAAAAATTATGTTTTAAAAAATAGGATGAAGACTCCTATCATAAGGTATGCAAGGCTACAAAACTTTAAAATGTCAATTGTATGGTTTGAAAAATGTTGGAATTTCCCTTTGCTATTCTAAAGTTGACATAAGCACCCAGGGGAAGTGCGTGTGCTTTCAGAACATGGACTCAATCTGTAAAAATGCACAGAGAGCCAGGTCTTTCCCTCATCCTCCCGCATCCACCCCTCCGTTAGGCTTTGGGAATTAACACAGGCGCAGCTCTGTATTAAGTAGCAAGTACTCTTTGCAAATGACTCCTCCATTTAATGGAGCAACTTTTAGAGAAGATGGCAATTTCTTGTATTGTTGGTGTAATGTCATACTACAATATGTCTCCTATAGTTTTGAATTGTGTTGAAATATTCCATAGAGTATCAGTCTGAAAACCATAAGAAAATGAAATTTGAAAAATATCACAATTTTAATCCGAGAGTGAATGCCTGTGGTTGTCAAGTGCATATTTGTTTAACTTCATCTCATCACAGTGACACTGAAAACAGACTCCAACTGCACAACCTAAGTGATTTAAATGATATAATTATTCAACATGGGAAATTGACAGAAAAGCTATCAACTACCAGAAACTATGCAACAGCAATAACAGAAAGCCCATGCCTTCAGCCATGTCTCTCTGAGTTGGTGGACAGGGCTGAGAGGTAGAACTTTCCCGGAGCAGAACCCAGAGGCTTAGATATCACACTGTAGTCCCACACTAGGAAGAAGAAACTAGCTGATAAAATAAATCTTTAATATTACTAATATTCATTTCAAATCCCATGATTTCCCTCTTGATGGTCTATAGATCAATCACTTAAACCTATCCCTCTGCTCGCTGCCCACTCCCCTCTAATTTCTCAGGTAATAAAAGAATTTCTCTAAAGACACTTGCCTGTATTCTGTCAGGAACAAGGTTCTGGGAATTCTCCCCTCTGACTTTAACCGATCATTAGAATTGTAGTGACATGAGTAAACCTGACATGTTTAGAGATGCAAAAGAAAACAACAGCATCTCTCCACTTAAATTACAGCTATCAACATAAAAATTAAAATATTTTTCTTTTATTAGTCATATTATCAGAGCCAGTCAATTTTAAGGCATTTGTCGTGAACTGTTGGTAAATGCAGTTGTATATTCTTCCCTAAACTTAACTGGTCCAAAAACTAAAATGTTGCTCCTTATGAACATGGATTAGGTATAACAATACAACTGTACTTCAGGCAAATAGAGTTTAGCTCAGAGAATGTACTTCAAACAAATATATTTCCTGGTCTAAACTCAATATAAAGATATGTAATATCTTTATATGTAAACATAAAGATACTTTTTATTTGTCTGCACTAGGTCTAAAGACTTGACCTAAAATGACGTAAAGTAGATAATATGGATATCACCTATTATTCAGAAATACTACAGACTAGGAAAACCATGAGTTTTCAAGTTGAAACTTTTTTTTAAAGAATTTGTTTCTTGACATGTTTATTTTAAACATGATAAATCTGAATGTCTGGGAAACTTAACATGAACTGCAGCTGGAAAATAGAACTCTATTCTTTTCACCATCATAGTTTTGTCTTCCCAATATTCCAAAGAACATTCTAATAGCTGGTTCCTACTTATAACAATTACTCTTATGTTATGAGTATAAAATAAAATACATTATTATATTGAAAAGCATTCATTATCAATTTATTAAAAAAAATAGTAGCTAATGTTGCAAACTGTATTTTTCTATTTAATTTCAAACTTCCTTTTATCATTATGCCCATCTTGCAGGTATCAATAATATATTAAAAATTCAGAATCTTTACTGAATGTAACATGGAAGATAAGACATTCTTTTAATGCATCTATGTTGTATCAGATTACTTATATAAAATTATGGAATGTGAAATCAGCATGACAACAGCCTGATTTACTAAGTAATAATATATAAAGGTCATTCTTAAAAGTCTTCCCAAAAGATTTGCTTTTAAGATATTTATAATAATTACTTTTATTCATTTCTATTTTCAAAAATTGTAGTAAGAAAACTGAAAGCTATTCTGGTACCTAATAGTTTGCTCCTAATGCTTCTCTGTCTGCTTCCCACCGCACAGAATTATATATTCTTTTCTCTCTTTCACTCTCTCCTTGCCCGCTCCTTCCTTAAACACACACACGCACACACACGCACACACACACACACACACAGCTTGATATATTTCTATTTTCAAAAATTGTAGTAAGAAAACTGAAAGCTATTCTGGTACCTAATAGTTTGCTCCTAATGCTTCTCTGTCTGCTTCCCACCGCACAGAATTATATATTCTTTTCTCTCTTTCACTCTCTCCTTGCCCGCTCCTTCCTTAAACACACACACGCACACACACACACACACACACACACACACAGCTTGATACCACTTAATAAGGATAGAGGTGTATGTGTTTTGGGGGTGTCAAACAGCTGTCACAAACTGTCACCTCCATAAGAGAAACCTTGGCACACAACAAATTAAACTACACTTCTTTTTAGCTGTCATTATTCATAGCCAATAAGTTGAAATGCTCTCAGCATTTCATGTGCAAATAAAACCACGAGGAAGCACAGTAGATCAGAACAGTGGGCCAACAGATAAAACAGAGAAAACAACACATTCGGTCCTTCTGAAGTGGCTCATCATCACCCCTGCACCAGCGTGCACCAAATGAGATCCAGCCTGGGGCAGTGTATTAAATATGCATATCAAAGCAAATGAAAAAATAAACCTGGAGATTCAAATTGGGCACATTAACATGCTGAAAATGTCCCACTAGAACTACTTTTCAGGTAGTGCTTCTGTGGCATTTTCCCTTTTTCTGTGGCTGGGGGGTTGAGGGAGGTCCTGCTTGCAGAAGAGGCTGCAGCATGAGAATTCGCTTTGTAGGGGGAGGCCTGGAAATGAATGCAATCAATACACCTCTGGTACGAAAGTGTCAGAAATGGTGAAAACCCTCCAAGGTTTTCTCTCACCTCCTGCATAAAATCCAAGTCTGTGGCAACCTCACCATTCCCCACTCAGTGCGCTGGTGGAACAAATTATTGCTTCCTTTCAAAACAAATAGCAGGGGGCTAAAGTAAGAATGTTATAGTTCAGATCTCTAGGAAATAAAAGGCTTTAAATTCTGATGCCCAATGAGGTGGCAAGCCCTCATGGGTTCAAAATAAATCAGTTGTCATATCTACTTGATTAGGGGCCTGACAGAGGAGCAACACATGTTATAGTTGATCCTTTTACCCAAAGACAGTGATTGTTAAGTTATTAAAGCATTGGCCTTTTATAGGTACAACTTCCTTCTTGAGTGTAATTTAAATATTGCAATAGTTCCATAAATTGGCCTTGTCTATCAGCCAGTACTCTATATAAACAGTCTAGCCCATCTTATCTCTTTCATGTAAACATCAGCATGTTCTAGATCTATACCTCCACTTGAAAAACAGTTGCCATGAAACTGTTCTAGAAAACCAAGTAGTCGAGACTCCTAGAAATAACACAAGAAGAGCTTTTTGGCTGCGGACAACTGTGAACCTCTCATTCTACAAACCAGGTAACTAGGTTCCTTCCCATTCTCCCAATAGTGTAAAATGCATGAGTTTAGAACGAGAAAGCCATGAAAAATGAAAATAAATAAATAAATAACAACAACAACAAATATTTCCAAGGTAGTGTCATGCCTCGTGAACCACAACCACCCATCTCAGGGCTACATATCAGCAAATAAACTGACATAGCTGCTGCTGCACCCGCTTAATTTCAGTTAATAAACTCAATATACAAAAGAGCTCCCGAAGTTTTCCCCCATCGTGACGGGAAAAGCCAAGAGTGCAGATAGTCACAGGAGCTTTCAACAACATAGCATTTGTACTGTCTCAGAACTAGGTAGCCGGGCCTGAGGTTTTCTTTTCTTTTCCTGTTCGAACTTTGGTCCTTAGGCAGTCTTTCCATACAACACAAAGGCTGAAAATTAAAATCTGTAACTACATATTTTCAAAACTTTTGGTGGTGGGATAGAGGGATGGGACACCTCACAGAATGTTCATTCTTAAGGCATCTCAATTCATTCCTCTTGACAACCCGGAATGGGGGTGGTGGTGGTGGTGGTGTCTTCAAGCCTCAACGCCTGTTTAACTCCACGGAGCGTTAAATTAATATTTCAGCCACCGAGTTATTAGTCTAGAGCCTATATCATTTAGGTTGTGATTCAAGTGAATGCAATCTATAGACACCCAGGCTTGAGTTTCTATAAATAAACTGCTGTTCACACCCACTCTTTAACCTCGCCACTCTTGCCTTTCCTACCAGCTGCAATCCTTTTCCTTTGCTTCTTTTTCAAATTTTCAGTCTCACTACATATGCTTTTTCCACATATATATAAATAAAAGCATCAGACTTACTAGATCAGTTCCAAAATGGGATTAAAAACAGAGAGAATAGAAAGAAATCTCCCTTCCGGGCCTGACATCCACAGTAGCTCCTTACTACACTCTCCATCCTCACTCACCAACTGTTAAAGTGTTAAAATTCAACCACTAACCTAGGGTTACTCAATCACAATTCCCTTCAGCTTTTCCGAAATACATTGTTAATAACTGTTTCATCAAGGTTACTGTCTTTTATTATGAAGATGCTTCAGGCATTTGGCAATAAGTCCATATCCTGACAATAAGTTTCTATAGAGCAAAAGCTCTGAGCATTGTAAAGTGTTCACTCCTTTTATTTCTAATGCAATGCAAGAGTGCCAATAATTCTCAGAATTGTCATCTTGGGAGAGACTTCGAAATCAGCCCCTCTCCCCATCTCTCTGTTTTTCTTCCGTCCTCTCTCCCTGATGCTGACCAGCTAGCTGTCTTGCCTCTCTCTCTCCCTGCTGTACTGATTGCACAGAGTTCAGAAAGCAGAAAAGACAGCAGTCACCATATCAAACAGACAATTTGCTAACACTCAAGTCACCAAATCCAGGAAACTTTACACATTAAAAGCACAAATCACTCTATCAACTCCCTGTCTTTGCTTTTTTTTCCTCCTTAACATAAATAAGGAGGGGACCCAAGAAAGGGGAAAGGGAGAGGAGAGGATGGCAAAAGTACCAAGGTAGGGAGAAGACCCCCAAAGAGACCAAATCATTTAAAAAGAAAGCTAAGTCAGTGGAGCTAGATGTTACAAGTTTAAAAAAAGAAATGCTTTGCCCAGTGGCCTTAAAAGAATGCTAGAGACTCACAGACTTACATGGTCAGCGAGATTTGTGGAGGAGCCTGAAAGTTCTTCGTGATCTGACTTGGAGCTGCCGTCTCTTTCATCAATGACGAGGTCGATGGGCATTTTCCCCTTCAAACAGCTAATGTACCGGTGGCAGAAGTTATCGCACAGTTCGTGGACCTAGAAGGAGGGTCATGGTGGAGGGTTCAGCTGGGGCCGTTGTTGTTATTGTTTTCTTTCATTTTTAAAGGGGGAAAATATCATGTTGCAGGGTTCCATTTGGAAAGAGCAACCGTGTGATGTCTTCCAAACTAGGTCTAATTAATGGATATAATAGTTGAAGTCGAGGAAACAATAGAGTAATTGTTGCAGCAGATATTATTCTCCAGACACTTCCCTGAGCAACAAGTTATAATGGAGAGAGAAGAAAGGGGACTGGAAATAAGTGGGTTCAGACTGGGAGTCCAGGGAGGAAGGACGGACTTGATGATAACATCAAAATGTAAGGACGCTGGAACTGGGAACAGCATTAGCATTTGCGATTCAATAAGCTAGGAGGGTTGCATGTTTCCAAGGGAAAGTGATTGAGCTGCAGAGCAATGTAAAGACATCCCAGAAAGGATGATTCCCTCTGCCTGCACCTAATGCACGCTCAGGGCCCAGGGTGAGCTGAGCTAATAGAGACACAAGCAGGCTGAATGTCCAGTAACACACAAATGGCTTGCTGCATTTAAAATAATACTGACTGCCTGGGGAAAAGGAGAGGTGGGGGAGGCTGTCCTAATTCACCCATCCTCGGAGCCCCTGGGTTGAGTGGCAATTAGAAGGAAGGACTTGATAACATGTTGCTCAAAATCTCCAGGTGCTCAATCCCTCAGACTGGAGGTTTGTTAAAAAAAAACACAAAACATCCCAGCTCAGCTAGGAGAGGGAAGTCTACATCAGAGCGGGGGGTGTCATTTCCTGCTTACCTTTTCTAACTCCAAAAGATGAAACCTTAGTACTTGTATTGCCTGTATCATCTGCAAGAAAAGTTTATAGTGCGGAGTTAAGACTCTGTGACTTGGGGTTGGGGGTGCTGAGGGAATTGGGCTGGAGAGAAGAAGCAGGCAAATGGCCAGGCAAAACCCACCCCTGAAGAAACCCTCAGAAAAACCAAGTGACTACGGATCAGCTCTGCCTCGCTGGCCAAGGGGTAGGCTCTTACTGAACCTGAGCCGAGGCATTGAGTAACTTTGCCCCTGCTGTTCAGTAAGCTATTTGTAAGGACAGCTTTCCTAGGGCCAGGCCTTCTTTCTCCGCCTGAGCCCTCTTTCGCCGTCCCCCTCCCTCGACCTCAACCAGGACAAATTTAAAAAAAAAAAAGAAGAAGAAGAAAAGGTGGCTTCTCTGTAGAGAGAAAGCTTTTTAGAGTAGCACACCCGGCGAAATCCGTCCTTACTAAAGAAGGAAATACTCCAGATGAATGGTGAGGCAGGCCTTTGAAGGCGGATTTAAGTACTTTTAATATTGAAATCGTGCAAATTAGCAAAAGAATCGCACCTAAAAGTGGCCTGCGCTGGCCTGCCCCTCACTCCCCCACCTCCTCTGCCCGCCCTCCGCCGCGCCTCACTTCCACGGGGGTGAGTTGCCCCGGGCTCCACCGCCTGCCCCCGCACACGGAGGACAGA